TGAATCCATCTGAACACCATCTACGCTATCTACTACATGCTTAACCATATTCCTAAGCTGAGCTGACCGTTTTATAATGACATCTACTATACCGAATCCATCTGAGCACCATCTACGCTATCTACTACATGCTTAAACATATTCCTAAGCTGAGCTGACCGTTTTATAATGACATCCACTATACCGAATCTATCTGAGCACCATCTACGCTATCTACTACATGCTTAAACATATTCCTAAGCTGAGCTGACCGTTTTATAATGACATCTAGTATAATATTCCCGAATCTATCTGAGCACCATCTACGCTATCTACTACATGCTTAAACATATTCCTAAGCTGAGCTGACCGTTTTATAATGACATCTAGTATAATATTCCCGAATCTATCTGAGCACCATCTACGCTATCTACTACAACAACTCGTATTCTGGATATATTTTAGTGAAGTATAAACATTGCTCACAAAATGTCTTATTAAAATATATTTGATTGTTATCTAGATACTAATATAAAAAAATAGGTAGTACGCACTGCGTTTCTTGCATCTTGGTAATGATTCAATCATACTTGAACTTAATAAAAGTGCATTGTCTTTAGAATTGACACTTTGTATTAGAATGTCTAGGTATCACCTTTTCATCTTGATTATATCCTAAGTTGGAATATAAAAGTAATATCTATTTAAATATGCAGATAAACCTTTACTTAGGAAGTTCATATAACTAGGTGACACTTTTTAAAATTTACTAAGTTGTACAATTATCAGTTGTTACGAATGTTTATGACAAATTCTCATTGGTTCCCATTGTTGTCATGGAAAGCCAGTAAGTTTATGTAATCAGACCACACTGTATAATAACTTCTTTGTAACAGTCAAATCATATCATAGTTAGCTGAGGTTTAGGTTTCTGTCTGTAGAATTATCTGTGTTAGAAAAATTAAGTGTATAGATAGTGGTTCCCATATTTATAAGCATGTCTATGTAACATTACTTATAATTAATACAAATCTAGCAAAAGAAGAAAAAGATCCTTTGAAACTAAATTAGTATGGAATGAGGACATGGCTGAGATTGTTTGACTAACTCCTGAAGTTAATTTTCTATCAAAGACGGAGAGTTCCTGGTGCTCGGAACAATGCTTTGATCTTACCTTCTCTGTAATGTTCATGCAGTTGATCTTGTATGTTTTTAACTACAATATTTAATTCTGTAGTCCACTACCATTGTTTTCATATGCTCATTTCTGGTTTCACGAATTTCCAAAACTCCTCATTACTTCTATGGGTAAATAAGTAGGTGTATTTTTTTTATTCTTTATAAAATACTGTTAGTTGTAATAACAGGTGATTTTACATTTGGAGAACAGAATCGTTCACATAATTTAGTATTACTGTTTTGACTTAAGTTTTAAAATTGAGAAAATTGACGAAAGAAGATTTCAGGCTGCCACAAATGAGATCTTAGATGTTTTAAATTCTCTAATGAACAGAACCTTTACTACTTATAATAATATTTGAACAAGGCAAAGAAGACATCTTTATTTCCCTGTTTAAAAAGTCAAGTTGGTTAAGAGGTTTTAAGATGGACTTTAAATCATTAACTACAAATGTTTTTATACAAGAAAAAAAGGTGTATTTTTATAAAGTATATTTTTTATATATTTAAAAGTAAACAAATTTTCTATTTTGAAACGGCTAATGCCGATCAACATATTTGAATCTTTTTTTCTATAATGTAAAGTTGATGTTGTAAAAACAGTTGATTACAATAACTATAGGTTTTGAACCTCCGAGAAGAAAAGACGGTTCTATAGTTTGGATTATCTCTTATTTAAACTTAAATTATTCTAGAAAACGTGTCAACCTTTCAGGAAGATTAGTTTTTATTATGGTTTTGACAAAAGTAGCTTTGTTGATTTTTTTAGCTTTAATTTGTTTGATTTTAAATGTCTTTCTATTTATACTAGTAACTACTATAACTGGCCATCTAGAACCATAACATTTACAATATTTTTCTGAAGATAATGACTTAAGAATTGAGGTATACTGTTATGAATTCTATAGATTGTAAATCTAGTAATAATGTTTGACTAATTTCTGAAGGTTGGAATATGATCTCTAATTCCAACCATTGAGAGTGTTTTAAGTTTTGTCTATAACAAATATCTGAATAGCTCAATCATATTACAATAGGGTTATTCTTTGAATGATGAAGATTTAAAATGTTTTAAAAATCAGTTAATAAGTTGTTGGTGACAGGAGTAGTTAATTAGGATTGTGCATATGCTTAGCTATTCTTTGTTGTAAATTCTGATAAAGGAGTCTGAAGCTGAAGAACTTTTTCATAAATTTCTGTTTTCGATGATACGATCGGTATTGGTTAGCACGATTATCTGTAGTTTTGTATTAGTATGAAGAATTCTGATTTTCTTCCAAGCCAGTGATGTACTTGTAATCAAAGGAATACAAATTATAAAGGCTTATTGACCTTTTATTTTTTTTTCCTTTCCTGTCGAACTTGTAGCAGCTTAAATTTGAGATGTATTGGTATTTACAGTGATTGGGCCTTCAGTTTCCCATTTTATACAGAAGCAGGGTGTCGTTTATGAAAATTGTAGTCTTGTTGTAAATTTGATTTCTGTATTATTAAAATGAAGATCACTAATCACATTTTGTTCTATATCACAATCAATTATCAAGAAGAAACAAAAAAACATTGTTCCTTCATGTTTACAACACGATTACCATCGTTGTTTAATTAAATTTTTGCCTGAGAGTTGAAAGTATTCATGACTTTCAATCTATAACTACATCCGAGTTACTTGGTACACTTTGTGTTGCTGTAACTATACCAAACTACTCAGTAAGTTTAGTGTTAATGTAACCACACCTAAGATACTGTGTAAGTTTTAACACAACATAACATTTTGGGAAAACGTGGGACCTTTTGGTCCATCTCGGATGTTCCATCCTCTAAACTAAACTAAAACTATTAATTAATAGATTTAAAATAAAATCTTAATACCAGCCCTTATCAATCATATACTTATCAAGCCTTCTCTTGAACTCACTTAAATTTACTGCCTCCACAACATCCAAAGGCAACCCATTCCAAAGGCCAACCACCCTGTTAGAAAAATAAAACTGTCTTAGCTGAAGATGACTTCTACCCTGCCAAAATTTATATTTGGGTCCCATAATCCTACTATTCTCACTGTTAAGTATGAAAACATATGATGCATCAACACTATCAATTCCCTTTACAATCTTAAACACCTCAATCAGAACCCCTTAACTTTTCTTCCGTCTCTCCTCGTATGACAACCCCTCCATCCCAGGCACCATTCTAGTAACACTTCTCTGAACCTTTTCCAACAATTCAATGTATTTTCTAAAGTAAGGAGCCCAAGACTGAACACAATATTCCAAATGTGGTCTAACCAGTGACATATACAATGAAATTATAACCTCTTTAGACTTCTATTCAATATTTCTGTAGATATAAC